AACCATCAAAGTGCTTACTATCAATTAATCAAGCCAATTTTACCATTAATATTTCTCATCTCAAATTTATCAATTTTGCAGATTATTATTATTATTATCATCAGTACTACTATTATTATTACTATTATTATTATTATTATTATTATTATTATTATTATTATTATTATTATTATTATTATTATTATTATTATTATAGATTTTAGGCCAGTCCAAGAAATTCCTAAGACTACCGGCCCATGTAACAAATAAGAAGACGGCCCGCTTCATAAAAAAAAACTTTGGCCCACATGTTTAGACCCAAGCCTGCGGCTGGGTCATCTTCCTCGCAGGGAAGACGCCGGACATCGGCCAGTGCAGGGGGAAGAGGCTTACCTCGATTGGCGGTGAACGATGGCGGCGGTCAACTCCTTCAGGGACGGCGAATGTCAGGGATGGGTTGGCGGCAGCGGTAGCTCCTCCTTCTTCTCCGTTTTCCGTTTTTACGATTAGCCCGGCAATACTCCGGCAAGCTATTTCTCCCTCGTTTCACGTCCGTTTTCAACGATCCTGTAACACCCCGGCCCCACCGGCCCCGAGGTAGTTACTCCGGACCAATAGTACTGTCCTCACAAACCACCACAAGCCTTTACCGCGCACTTTGTCCTCACTCATGAGCGCCCTGAGAAACTTCCCAGGGGGTCACCCATCCCAAGACTACTCCCGTGCGAGCACGCTCAACTTTGGAGTTCTTGGGTAATGAGCTCCCTTAAAAGGAGATGCACCTTTGTTGGTATGAGTAGTACTATTAATCCGTTTATATTAAATCTCAAGTGTTACAATCACCCCCACTTAGGATCGCAACGTCCTCGTTGCGCCCTTGAACCAATCTCAAATCTCAATCAAATCCCAGAATCTTCCCCCGCTAAGTGCCCGCCCGATATCCAACGGGTCATCACACTGTCGCGGGGTTGCTCTGATACCACCTGTAACACCCCGGCCCCACTGGACCCGAGGTAGTTACTCCGGACCAATAGTACTGTCCTCACAAACCACCACAAGCCTTTACCGCGCACTTTGTCCTCACTCATGCGCGCCCTGAGAAACTTCCCAGGGGGTCACCCATCCCAAGACTACTCCCGTGCAAGCACGCTTAACTTTGGAGTTCTTGGGTGATGAGCTCCCTTAAAAGGAGATGCACCTCTGTTGGTATGAGTAGTACTATTAATCCGTTTATATTAAATCTCAAGTGTTACAATCACCCCCACTTAGGATCGCAACGTCCTCGTTGCGCCCTTGAACCAATGTCAAATCTCAATCAAATCCCAGAAATCTTCCCCCGCTAAGTGCCCGCCCGATATCCAACGGGTCATCACACTGTCGCGGGGTTGCTCTGATACCACCTGTAACACCCCGGCCCCACTGGACCCGAGGTAGTTACTCCGGACCAATAGTACTGTCCTCACAAACCACCACAAGCCTTTACCGCGCACTTTGTCCTCACTCATGCGCGCCCTGAGAAACTTCCCAGGGGGTCACCCATCCCAAGACTACTCCCGTGCGAGCACGCTTAACTTTGGAGTTCTTGGGTAATGAGCTCCCTTAAAAGGAGATGCACCTCTGATGGTATGAGTAGTACTATTAATCCGTTTATATTAAATCTCAAGTGTTACAAGGACAGAGGAAAGCCAACACATCCAGAAAGCATGACTACCGCACTGGGAAACCCTATGCAAGGAGTGAAGACCGTCCGGTGGCAACAATCACTGGTTGGCTCGACGACCCGAATCTGCCTCCACCTATTTTGGAGTACTGCTTTAGCGTCGACACTTTGGGACTCATCAACTCTTTAGACAAACTGGGGGAAAAGGTGAATTGGCCCAGGAAGTCTGTGAAATCCAGCGGACGTCGGGACCCTACCAAAAGGTGCGAATTCCCCGACGACATCGGGCATAACACGGAAGATTGCGTCGCCTTGCAGAACGAAGTTGCCTACCTATTGAGAAACGGGTACTTGACGGAAATCATGACGGAACAAACCAAATCCATGTTGCATAGGAATCAGAAGTCGTCTGAGGATCAACGACGACCTCCCTCACCTACAGCCCCACAAAAGGTAATTAATTTCATTAATGGTGGTTCAGATTTATGTGGACTAACCTACTCTGCAGCGAAGAGACAAGCTCGGGAGTATTCCCGAGACAAGTCGTCACAGGTGTACCAAGTCATACGACAGGAAGAAACCTGGAGAAATGCATCTGTCACGTTCGATGAAACGGATCTGACTAGCCCGGGTGATGCTCATCATGACACCTTAGTCATCGCTCTCAGGGTGGCGAACTGTGAGGTGAGGCGAGTCTTGGTTGACAACGGCAGCACAGCCAACATCACCACGTTGAAGACGTTGAAACAGATGGGATACCAAGAGGAACATTTGGCTACCTCTGGCTCCACCCTTGTTGGATTCAACGGCGAGCCAAGTCGAACGATAGGTAACGTTTCTTTACCCGTACATGCAAATGGTCTTAACTTGCAGGTGAAGTTCGACGTAGTCCAAGATCTGCCAGCTTACAACATGATTCTGGGGACGCCTTGGTTGCATCAAATGGGGGAAATCCCGTCTACATTCCATCAGGTGGTCAAATTTCCAACGCCATGGGGAGTACAGTCAATCCAAGGCGACAGGTCCGCTGCTAAGTCTTGCTACCAGACCTCAATGAAGCCAACAGCCTCTGTTACGACTTCTGCATAGCAATTAAAGGGCGACTTCGATCTGGTCAAGGAGGATGAAAACAGCACTAAAGACATCATCATCGATCCAGATCATCCGGATAGAGTCGTCCGCATTGGAGGCAACATGTCAACTCAGCAGGAGGAGGAGCTTATTAGTTTTCTGAAGGAGCACAAAAGTGTCTTCGCCTGGAGCCATGACGATATGACGGGAATTGACCCGCAAGTAATCACTCATAAGCTAAATGTAAACCCTGCACATAAACCCGTCAAGCAGAAGAGATGACGTTTCGCCAGGGAAAGGAACGACATCATCAATCAAGAAGTCAAGACACTGCTGCGCACCGGTAAAATCCGCGAGGTAAAATACCTTAACTGGCTTGCTAATGTTGTTGTAGTGCAAAAGAAAAAGGGCCACCAAAAGGGCAAAAAACCTAAATGGAGGGTGTGTGTCGACTTCACTGATTTGAACAAGGCATGACCGAAAGACTCGTTCCCGATGCCGCACATTGACGTCCTCGCAGATGCCACAACAGGACACAAAATGTTGACATTCATGGACGCTTTCAGCGGTTACCATCAAATACAATTACACTTGGAGGACCAAGAGAAGACCGCATTCATCACCGAGACAGGTACATATTGCTATGTTGTCATGCCCTTCGGTTTAAAAAATGCAGGTGCCACTTTCCAAAGATTGGTCACTGTTGAAATATAAACTAGAATGATATTAAAGATAGAGAGAATAATTTTCTGTGTATTTCATTGAAGGGTAAAGCCCTATAAATATAGATTACAAAGATAGAATATTCCTATAAAAGATGTTATACAATAATACTATATATGGTATATTCCTAATATATTCTAAAGCATATTCTAAAGTATATTCTAATATACTTTCACACTCCCCCTCAAGTTGGAGCATAGATATTTATCATGCCCAACTTGTTACATAAATAACCAACTCGAATTCCATTTAGTGCTTTAGTGAACAAATCTCCAAGTTGTTCCCCAGTCTTCACATATCCTGTAGAGATCAATCCTTTTTGTATCTTTTCTCGAATAAAATGACAATCGACCTCAATATGTTTTGTTCTCTCATGAAATACAGGATTGTTTGCTATGTGTATAGCAGCTTGGTTATCACACCACAATTTAGCAGGCATTGATGTCTTCAGTCCGAGCTCGGTCAATAAATGGCTTATCCATATGATCTCACATGCAGATTGTGCCATAGCTCGATATTCTGATTCGGCACTCGAACGAGAAACCACATTCTGCTTCTTACTCTTCCAAGATACAAGATTACCACCAACAAAGACACAATAACCAGATGTAGATCTTCGATCATCTTTAGAACCGGCCCAATCAGCATCTGCAAAACATTCTATTCTCATGTGATCATGGTTTTGATAAACAATACCTCGTCCTGATGCACCCTTTAAGTAACATAGTATGTGTTCTACTGCAGCCCAATGATCAATGGTTGGAGATGACATGTATTGACTCACTACACTCACAGAATAGGCAATATCTGGACGAGTTACCGCGAGATAATTAAGCTTTCCAACCAGTCTTCTATATCTTTCTGGATCTTCAAACAGTGTGCCTTCTTGAATTAGTTGCACGTTGGGAACCATGGGTGTTGTACTTGGTTTTGCCCCTAATTTCCCTGTCTCAGCTAGTAAGTCAAGTACATATTTACGTTGAGATAGAAATATGCCTTTCTTACTTCGTGTTACCTCAATTCCCAGAAAGTATTTCAATGAGCCAAGATCTTTTGTCTGGAATTGACTATGCAAAAAATTCTTAAGGGCCAAAATACCTGCATTATCACTCCCTGTAATCACAATATCATCAACATACACCACAAGCAATGTGACACCTGATTCTGTTTGTTTGTAAAAGACAGAGTGATCTGATTTGCCTTTTATCATTCCAAATTGTTCAATTGATTGACTGAATTTCCCAAACCATGCACGAGGACTTTGTTTCAGACCATAAAGAGATTTGCGAAGTCGACAAACTTTACCATACTCCCCCTGAGCAACAAATCCCGGAGGTTGCTCAATATAGACTTCTTCCTTAAGGTCACCATGCAAAAATGCATTTTTAATGTCCAACTGATGTAAGTGCCAATCATGAGTTGCAGCGAGTGAAATAAGTAACCTGATAGATGTTAATTTAGCAACAGGAGAAAAAGTGTCAGAATAATCAACACCATAGGTTTGAGCATAACCCTTCGCAACTAATCGGGCTTTCAACCGAGCAACAGATCCGTCTGGGTTAACCTTAACAGCAAAGACCCACTTACATCCAATAGATTTCTTCCCTGTAGGCAAGTCAACCAAATCCCAAGTACCATTAAGATCTAAAGCATTCATTTCCTCTACCATGGCATGACGCCATTCAGGATGAGACAAAGCTTCTTTGACAGATTTGGGAACAGAAATAGAATCAACGGAAGCAATAAAAGAACATGAAGCAGGAGATAACTGATTGTACGACACAAATGAAGAGATAGGATGAGTACAAGACCGTGTACCTTTACGTAGTGCTATTGGGAGGTCAAGATCTGATGCGGAGACAAGATCTGAAGATGCAGGTACTGGTTCAGGACATGAGATCGGAGTCGAACTAGTATCAGGATAAGTAATCACAGGTATCGCCGGTGGAGGGCGATCAGGTGCTTTGTGTCGACGGGTGTATACCAAATGTACAGGAGACCTAGGGTCAGGAACAGTAACTTGTGGAATATTTGTCGAAAGTGTGGACTCTGGAATAGTCATCGTGTAAATGAGTATATCATCATTACTCTCATGAATATCTTCCTTAGATGATGAAAAAGGTGTATTTTCGTGAAATGATGCATCAATAGAAACAAGATACCGACCAGTACTCGGACAAAAACATCTATACCCCTTTTGGGCTCGAGAATAACCCAAGAAAATACATTTTAATGATTTGGGATCTAACTTTGTAAGATGGGGATTAACATCTCTAACAAAACAAGTGCAACCAAATATTTTAGGTGGGATAGGAAAAAGCTCTTTGTTTGGAAATAGACAATGATAAGGAGCTTTACCATTCAAAACAGAAGATGGCATTCGATTTATCAAAAAAACATGCAGTAGACACGGCATCTGCCCAAAACTGTTTAGACACATTCATTTGGAATAGAAGAGCCCTTGCAGTTTCTAACAGATGTCGGTTCTTTCGTTCTGCAACTCCATTTTGAGGAGGTGTGTCAACGCATGAAGTTTGATGAATAATGCCATGTTGAAGCATAAATGACTTAAATGTAGCAGATAGATATTCTTGGGCATTGTCTCCTCTTAACACCCGAACAGGAACGTTAAACTGAGTTTTAATTTCAGCACAAAAGGAAGAAAAATGAGTGAACAACTCAGATCGACGTTTCATGAAATACAGCCATGTCATACGGGAATAGTCATCAACAAAGGTAACAAAATATTTAAAACCAGCTTTAGACACAACTGGGCAAGCACCCCAAATATCAGAGTGAACAAGGTCAAATGGAGCATTTGCTCTTTTATTAACTCGCGGGCTTAAGCTAGTACGATGGTGTTTCGCAAATTGACATGACTCACATTGTAAAGAGGTCATCTTATTAAATTGGGGATTTATTTGCTTCATTAATGGGAGAGATGGATGTCCTAATCGGTAATGAGCATCTAACAAAGTCCCAACCCCAAGACAAGAGATACCTTTTGTGATGGATGTATCCAAAATATAAAGACCAGCTGACTCATGTCCTTTACCAATAATCTGCTTCGTTAACAGATCCTGAAACACACAATATCCAGGAAAAAATGTTATAGAACAATTAAGAGTACGAGTGATTTTACTGATGGAAAGCAGATTAAATGCAAAATTAGGAAGACTCAAAACAGGCGATAATGGTAATGTAGAAGTTGGAACTACAGTACCAGATCCAAGAACGGGTGAGGTAGATCCATCAGCTAAAGTGACACTAGAAGTAGGTAAATATGAATGAAATGACGAGAATAGGTTAGGATTACCGGTCATATGATCTGTGGCACCTGAGTCAATGACCCATTTCGAGGATGATGAAAGAAGACATGTGTTTGAAATACCTGAATTCGTTGTTGCCGAGATAGGGACAGATGAATGCTTTAGAGATTCTTGGTAGCAAATAAATTTGGCATACTCGTCTGAAGAAATAGCAATTGATCCATCAAATGAACTGGCAGCGGAAACAACGTGAGGAAGCCGATTTCCTTGATTTTTGAACAACAATTTTCTACATTCTTTAAGCAGGTGCCCGGACTTCTTGCAGTAATTGCATATTACTCCACTATCAAATTGACCTGTATAAAACATTTCCTTTCCTTTTTTTTGATTTTTTTTTTTGATTTTTTTTTTGATTTTTTTTATTAATATAAAAAAATGGTATATTCGGGAGGAAGAAAAAAAAGTGAACTTACAGCAGCTTTCCCATGTGTGGACTTGGGAGAATAATAAAATACGCAGCTTGGGCACTCCAAACTTAAATCCAAGCTAGTACGATGCGTGACCAATCAGTGAAAGGCGGATGCGCGACCGAAAATATCCGATGCGAGGCCCCAGTAAATATGCGAACAAGACGAAGGAGCGGATATCCACAGATGATGCTCCCAGCGACCAACCACCGGTCTTCCTCCCACAGATATCCGTCCTTTGCTGGAGAAAGAACGAGGAAGAAGTAAAGTTCAGGACTCTCAGACGACTCTCAGACGAGAAATATGAGAAGTGTGGCGGCGGCAACAACTTATTTCAGAAATTTTGGGCAGAGGCTGGACGAACTGGTGAAGGAGCAGAGGGCAAGATTCTATATTGCCCGAAGATGTGTTTTCATGCTCGTTTGCTGGAAAGAATGAACTGATTCTGAAAAATTAATATATTCTTCCTTCCCTTTTAGCTAATTCTTCCGATCAAATTTCCGGCCAGGGAAGATGGTTGGACCTGACAGAGATGGACTAAGGTTCTGAAAAAAGGTTCTGAAGATTCTGGAGTGTTGGTTTCTGACAAGGAGGTTCTGTAAGACAGAGTGGTGCCTAGAGGTTCTAAAATTCTGGACTGAACTCAGGTCCTTGGAGAAAGAACCCAGTCTGAAAATTAAAACTAAACTGAGATATGAAAGACTAAACTGGAATCTGAAAAGGCTGCTCTGGTACCATGTTGAAATATAAACTAGAATGATATTAAAGATAGAGAGAAGAATTTTCTGTGTATTTCATTGAAGGGTAAAGCACTATAAATATAGATTACAAAGATAGAATATTCCTATAAAAGATGCTATACAATAATACTATATATGGTATATTCCTAATATATTCTAAAGCATATTCTAAAGTATATTCTAATATACTTTCACAGTCACCACGATCTTCAAAGACCAACTGGGGAAAACCATGGAGGTATATATTGACGACATGCTAGTCAAATCCAAAAAGGCAACAGACCACATCGATCACCTGCGGAAGTCTTTCCAGAAGTTGCAAGAATACAATTTGAAGCTTAATCCTGCCAAGTGCACGTTTGGGGTGTCGTCAGGAGAATTCTTAGGGTACATTGTCAGTGAAAGGGGGATAAAAGCTAGTCCGAAACAAGTCTGGCCCATGTTAGACATCGAATCTCCCAAATCAATCAAAGATGTCCAGAGACTGACCGGACGAGTTGCAACACTCAACAGGTTCATATCAAAGTCGTCAGACAGATGCCGACTTTTCTATGATGTCCTCAGAAAAAATAAAAAATTCGAATGGACAGAACAACATGAAAAAGCCCTACAACAACTAAAGGAGTACATGACGACACCACCTCTACTGACGAAACCCAAGAATGGCGAGGAACTACAGCTATATCTGGCAGTGTCTGAACATGCTGTCAGCGCTGTTTTGACACGAGAAGAAGACAGACATCAAAAACCAGTTTACTATGTAAGTAAGTCATTAAACATAACGGAATCCAGGTACGCACTTTTAGAAAAGCTAGTATTAGCATTAATTACAGCATCGGTAAAATTGTGTCCTTATTTTGAATCACATTCTATTTGCGTCCGTACTAACTATCCCATGAAGTCCATCATGAGGAAACCAGAACTGACAGGTCGGATGATCAAATGGTCAATACAATTGGGGGCATATGACATCAAGTATGAACCCAGGACAACTTTGAAGTCGCAAGCCTTAGCTGATTTTGTGGCGGACTTCAGCCCCAAACTACAAGTAGAGGCGGAAAGGGAAGTATGCCTTCTAATAGGGGAACAACACCAACAGAAGTGGATACTACATACTGATGGAGCCTCGAACATGCACGAAGCAGGCCTTGGAGTCATGCTGAAGTCACCACAAGGGGGCACCATACTACAAGCTGTCCGGTGTGATTTCAACGCAACAAACAACGAAGCGGAGTATGAGGCATTGATCTTCGGACTAAACTTAGCCCGAAACTTGGGCATAAAACTAATCGAGGTAAAGTGCGATTCCCTTTTAATTGTTAATCAAACTAATGGGGTTTATGCAGCTAAGGACCTAAAGATGACGGCATATCTGCAAGTCATCACTGAGTTGAGCAACAATTTCGACAACATCACCTTTGATCAAGTCCCGAGGGAGGAAAACGTCCAGGCTGATGCCTTAGCAGCAATCGGATCATGTCTGGGGGCAGAGAGCAACGACAACATACCATTCGTCCATTTGACTGAACCAGCAATCATGAAGACGGAAGTTGTCAACATCATCGAGTCAACTGCTGACAGCAACTGGATGCAGCCATATGTGAACTATCTCAAACACAACATCATCTGAGCTGACAAAAGAGAAACAAGAGCACTCCTATCAAAGGTAACAAAGTTTTTGTTAATTGATGACGTTTTGTTCAAACGTTCAAAAGCAGGTCCATATCAAAGGTGCTTATCCCCACAAGAAGCTGTCAAAGTACTCCAAAGCCTTCACGAAGGAGAATGTGGCAACCACGCAGCAGGAAAAAGTCTGTCAAACAAGGCATTAAGGTTCGGTTACTATTGGCCAACGATGAGGCATGATGCTGCCACATACACCCGAGCTTGTCAACCTTGCCAGAAGCATGCACCATTGCATCATCAACATGCAGAGTCACTCCACCCTGTCCTATCTCCATGGCCTTTTATGAAATGGGGTATGGGCATCGTAAGAAAGCTCCCTGAGGCACCCGGGCAAAAAGTCTACATGTTGGCAATGACAGACTACTTCTCAAAATGGATCGAAGCGGAACCCTTCCGACAAATCCGCGACACCCGGGTGATATCTTTTATTAAAAGAAATATATTAAGCAGACTAGTAAACTCACCCGTGCGATGCACGGTCTGAGAATTTTCCTTCAAATTTGTTTGTGTTCACTAATTCAAATTACACTATCAATTGATGAGAGTATCTATCTCCATGGAATATTGATATAACTGCTAGCATTAAACAAAACACACTTAAAATATATATTATAGCTAAAAAGAGAGCACTAAGCATTACTTAAAAGATAAAAAACATCCAACAAATACTTAGAAATCATAACATTGTAAATATACATTTCATGTAACCCTAAACATTGTTGAACACTTTTTGAATACAACATTCCGAGTCTTGTTCAGTTGTTCCTTCTTCTTCATCATTACCCGTGCTATGCACAATTGGTGAAATTTCACGGGTGTAATTAATATTAGCCAACATTTTAATTAAAAAATAAATAAACTTGTAATTTTAATGGAATTGTTTAGAATTATACTCCATACAATAATAAAACTTGACGTAAATGAAACATATAAAATACAATTTACTAATGATTACAGAGTAGTGCATTAATTTTTATAGCCCACAAAATAGTAAGTAACACGCAATATAAACATCATTTGGAAACAAATTACATTTCATGGCAAATTTATGAAACACTTCTTTGTATCTTCTGTCTAGCATTAACCCTTGTTAAAAGGGAAATTACACTAAATAGGACAAAAAAAGTTTATGTATTCCAAAATTGGACCTTAAGCATGACAATATTTTTCAAGCTTGACATTAATTACGCCTATTTTGGCAATAAAAAACATGACAATCTTATTTTGGAATTCTCAAACTTATTACTCATATTCGAAAATTTCCCCTTATTAAAATCCTTCATTCAAGTAATTTTTTGACAAAGAGTTTTTTCATTTTCAAATCAAAGGTCTATATATGTTAACTGAAGGTATAAATTTTTATAATTACTAAATAATATGGTGACATTACATATATACGAATTGCATTATTTAAACGAATTGCTGATGTAACCTGGCAAATCAGGGGTGTGTGCAGATATGTGAAAATGTGTTATGTCTTTGTCTATACGAATTGCATTATTTAGATGAATTGCTGATGTAACCTGGCAAATCAGGGGGGTGCAGATATGTGAAAATATGTTATGTCTTTATCTGTACGAATTGCATTATTTAGACGAATTGCAGATGTAACCTGGCAAATCAGGG